ATAAATTAACAAAGTCTTGAATGTACCTTAGTGGACATAATCTGACATGCTATTATACATTGCCCAGACCTGAATCTTTTGATCAGAGAGGACCGCAAGATGAACCATCTGAGGCAGGGGGATTTCTTCCAATTAGAAAATCTGAAGATGCTGCAGTTGGTGTCCTTGTGCAGATGTTGCAGAAAGCCCCACCTCTTCGCCAGGACACTTCAATAAATTTGGCAGAATCCTCAAGGCCTGCAATATGGGATAACTCAGTTGAAGAACCCAACCAGATTTCTGAGGCGCCAGGAGTTCAGTACGGTGCTTCTGCAAGTGTGGTATCTTCAGCGCTTACTGGGTCTAGAACAACAGCTGATGCATTGGAAGAACTTTGGAGTTACAAAGAGATGAAAAACTTGCTGCTTAGTCAAGGTGGTAGGTCATACACGTCCCAGAATTATGCATCTACTTCAGAACCTTCAAGCAGAGGTACGACGAGGTTTTAAACTTATGATGGTATTGAATCATTTGCACTTAGATACGATACTACTTACGGGAGATGACTTTGTGCAGTACAGTTAAGCATGTTTTGTCAGAGCTTTTCTTTTCCCCTGTACATAAATATATATGCATGTATATAGAAGTTAATGCACGATGATCGTATTATATCAGAAAGGTTACGTGATGTCTTTATAAGTCTACGTTAAAAAATGTTCCTCTCTTCTCTGATTATTCATTATAATTATATAGAGAATTTGTGGTTTAGACTACTATTCAGGTAGCTACTAAACAATAAACCTTCTGCATTTCTTTTCCATTATGTTAGATTCTGCACTATAATCTTGTTTCTTCTTATAACTCGTAAATAGTCATTGCAAAACTCGAACAGAACATCTTAAAGCACTAAAAGAGAGAACATACTATTCGGCTAACAGGCATTTGGGTTTTGTAGTAAAAATTTCATATGTACATTTTTCATACGGGTGCTTGTGATGAATACAAGCTTATAGTTGAGATCCATCTGATTTACGGGAGAGCTATTGTCAACTCGACTGAAATCGTTTTATATTTTGAGAAATTTCTCCAGCTTATTGTTTGGTTGGTATTTTTTATTTTCTTAAAATTTCCTTTTAAGAATTGAGATCACTTTTTGATGTATGGAGCTTCTATATATATATATTCTTTTTTTGGCTGGAACATACTGTCTTTGATTCAAATTGAAATTATGCAATGTAATTTGTAGGTTGTTTGCCACAAGAATGAGTGGTTTGTATATGTATGTATGTATTTTAATTTTATTGGAAATCATTATTTTTGAAGTTAAACTTTATCTTTTAAACAGAATTTTTATATATTTACTAGGATATTGAGTATTTTAAGTTTTAAATAAATTTCACAAAAATAAATTAACTTATAATAGCATTGAGAGAAGTTAAATAAGGATAAAAAAAGTTTATTATACAAATTTTTATTTTTTATTTTGGAGATATTATGGAAAACTTATCTGCTCTAACTTCTGAGATTATACTTTAAACATGATTAATTCTTTGTATGTATTTTAATGAATAATTTTTTTTTTTTTGGATATGATATATGTAGAATAATACAATAATTTGTTTTTCAAGTTAAAAGCTTATAGTTTATTATTTTATATTATGTTTTTCAAACATAATCATTTGAATTTATAAGTAAGTTTCAAATTTATTTTTGATAAAATCGAAAATAATCTCAATGGCAAAACAGCAACGATATAATTACCCCCTGCGAATGAGAATCTCTGTTTAATTTGTACGACAAATAAATTAAATTAAATTAGTATTACAAATGATTGATTGATTTACATTAAGTACTCATGTGAGAGATGGAACTGGAAAAGGAAAAATAATCTACAGAAATACATAATTACATGGCAGATTATTAATTGTATAATTAAAAGGACTGACTGTGACACACGCACACCAAATTTAAGATGAAGCTAATATAGTATGGATAATTCATTTTTGGAATATTATCTGTGAAAGAGGAAATTACAGAGAAGAAAATAAATGCATATACCAACATTAAATACCCATTCTTAGCAATCCAAATCTATCTTTGAAAGACATAATTATATGTATATAAACCACCCACAGCATCACAATTCGAAGTCTGGTGGCAGAGTATAAGCAAATTCTGTAAAAACCTAAAGTTAGTAGAGTTGAAAAGAGAGATGATCAAGTTTGCAGTTTTGATTTTTGCTGTTTCTCTGGTTTTACATCAGCCCGAAGTGAAAGGAACAGGTTTATCCAGACCAGTAAACAATCCCATTAAAACCATTAAGGTAAGCTTTTTCATCTTTTTGAATATTAAATTTACAATAAACAAGGCTAAATTACAGAGTATAATCAATTTATTCATCAAATTTTTTAATGCTGATACAGACTGAGTATGGTGATATCTATGATTGTGTGGATATCCACAAGCAACCAGCTCTTGAGCATCCGTTGCTCAAGGATCACAAAGTCCAGGTTCTCTATTTGCAAATGAGTTAAATGTCAATCTTAATAATATACTATAGATTATGGATTAGATTCTTTCTTATTAATAATTCGTTAAACTTAGTTGATATTTGATATAAAACTTAAACTAATCTTTTCAATTTACGATTTCAAATGATTTAATAACTGACCATGTTTTCATTTCATTTCGTCGAAAAGATGATGCCTAGTTTTGCTGTGAGAAGGAAGAGTATGTCTCCAACCATCACTGACTCTATAAAACTCGGCCTGGAGACACCATGTCCGCGAGGAACAGTCCCTATTCGAAGGACTTCAGATCAAGAATTACTCAAAGCGCAATCTGCTTTCTATATGCACCATTTTGCTTTTGATACCAATTCAAATGAACCAGTCGCTCCAGGAGTAGATGTAAGTAATTTTTGCTACATATTCAACTAAATACCTAAATATTCTTCCTCAATTACTTGGAACGATCGTATGTAATTGATAAAATTTATAAATTCAATTTAATCATTATGAACTATTCATTTCTTCACAGTTTGCAGGAATTATCTCAACACAAGATGCTAGTAAAAAATATCGTGGAGCGGGAGGAAGGTTGGCGATATACCAACCATTTGCTCAACCTAATCAGTTCAGTTTATCGATGATTCTTCTTCAATCTGTAACTACAGTAGGCCAACGAGCTATTATCCGAACAGGATGGATGGTATATGTCATTTGTGATTTCTCAGACTAAACAAAAAATTTTCTGCATTCAAGAAAAAAATGGATGACTCCATAATCTCAAATTCTTTCCAGGTAAATCCACTTGTTTATGGAGATACCAGAAGCAGATTTTTCACTTCTTGGACGGTATATTTTTTGAATTATTACTATCGCTATACATTGTGTCACACTTGAAATCATATGGATACTAATCAACAGTTAATTTTTTGAATATTTTCAGCAAGAAAAAAGTGGCAGCTCATCTGGGTGCTATGATCTCTTATGCTCAGGTTTTGTAGTGGTGGATAAACAGTTTACTCCAGGTATACCCTTTGGTAATATCTCAACTATAAGCGGTCCTAAATTTGATGATTGGATGATGATCAAGCAGGTAAATTTCTACTTCATAACTCTAAACGTAATATCATATAAAAAAAAAATGAATGTGAAAAGTTATTGAATGAATAGTGTTTAAAAGTGTAATAATTTTTTTTTTTTTTTGGTTTGGTTAGGATTTACGAACTGGGCATTGGTGGTTAATGGTGTTAGATGATAATAGACCAATTGGGTATTGGCCGATCGAGTTATTCGATGGTTTCGAGAATGGAGCTGGTTTGGCAAGCTGGGGAGGATGGGTATACAGCCAAAGCCCTGGTTCTCCTGCAATGGGCAGTGGGTATTATGTAGATAAAGATTACGAGAAGACATGTTACATAGCACAAGTGAGTGTTAACAATCCAGGAGATCCAAAGCTTGTGAGCCCAGATGAGTCTTCAGTTCAGGTTCTCCAATCTCGTTGTTACCAAGCTGGAGACAATTCTTTCTTTGATGTGAGTTGGGGATACAGATTCTTGTTTGGAGGAGCCGGTTGTTAGTATTTCTTCTTGGAAAAATAAAATAAAATTAATGTTCTTCACTTTGCTTCATTAAAATGAAGAGTGATTATTATATTATGGAAATCAATTTAGCTAGCATTTATAAATATATAAATATAATGGAGATATACAAGTGGTAATTGCAAGCTTCTGGGTTTTTATTTCAAGCCCATAATGAACCTTTAGCCCCATTTGGGTGTACATTTGAAGAGCACTTTGTGATCTAATAAGTAAAATTAAAATAAGTTTTTTTTTATGAAAGTCAAAACTAAAATATATATGTAATCAATTTCAATAAAATAAAATTAAAATTATTAATTTTTTTTAAAAAAATATCTTATGCTTTCGACGTTACCGTCCAATATTATCATTAATTAAATTATTAAAAAAAAAATCACATATTCTCATTTATTTTATTTTTCTCCACCTTGGCCGCCTTCGTCCACTGTCGCTCGCCGCCATCAGTTCGCCGCTGCGACTTGTCCATTGTTTCATATCTTTCTACAATATATAAGTAAAACTAGAACTTCTAATTTTTAATATTATTTTACAAATAATAAATTAAATTGTAATTAATTTTTATTAAGTATAAACATGGATTATAATATTTGTGTATGTATAGATAATTATATACACAAATATATGTAATACGATTATATGTAGTTCGATAGACAAATATGTATCAATATAAGTATATATATATATATATATATATATATTATATGTACTGTTACATTTATAATATATATTTTATATTTATATCAGAGTAATATATATATATATATATCTGTTACATAATATATGTAATATATATTTCTATATATATTAATATTAATTTAAGATAATAATTTAAATTAAAATTTTCTGTGTTAACTTATTTTTCCCTTATATTATTTTACTGATTTTAGTATTTTAAATAAATATATAATTTTTGTTTTTTAAAATAATTTTTTTTTTGCAACCATTTCTAACAAGCAATTAATAATCTCACACTAATTTCAATGATGAATAATATATTAAAATAAATGATGATGTTGTTTAAACAAAATTAAACAATGGATTAATGTTTTAGAGAGGACTCATATATAAATACTCGTTTGACTGGAAAAGGAAAATAATCTGTAAAACAGGAAAAGAGAAGAAAATAAATAGTCCGTGCCGCAGGTGGAGTAATAAAAAATCTTTTTAGCATTAAATTTCATTATTGGATATCTAAATCTACCCTGCATTAAATTCTCATCATTATAGATTTGGATGTACATATAAACCGGCCATAGCATCACAATTTGAAGTGTGGATATGCAGAAGGGTCATAAGCAACTGAAAACACCTAGCTTGGTAGAGTTAAAAGAGAGATGATCAGGTTTGCAGCTTTGATTTTTACCCTTTCTCTGGTTTTACATCAGCCTGAAGTGAAAGGAACAAGTTTATCCAGACCAGTAAACAATTCCCTTAAGGTAAAGTTTCAATTTTTTCTTTTTGGGTTTCAGTAAGTTTTCTTTTTGTGCAACTTAATTTTTGAAAAGATTAATTTTTGATCATAAACAGGACTGCAATGCAGAATATAATCTATTTATTTATCGATTTTTTAATGCTGATACAGACTGAGTATGGTGATATCTATGACTGTGTGGATATCAACAAGCAACCAGCTCTTCAGCATCCATTGCTCAAGGATCACAAAGTCCAGGTTCTATATCCGCTAACAAGTTAAATGTCAATCTTAATGACACTATAAATTATAAATTAGATTCTTTTTTATTAGCATTAAAATTAATTGTTTGTAATATAATACTAAAGCTAATCTTTTGAATTGCGATTGCAAGGTCCGTACTTGAATTACTAACCATTTATTCATTTTGTTTTGTCAAAAAGACAATGCCTAGTTTTGCTGTGAGGAGGAAGAATATGTCTCCAACCATCACCAACTCTGTAAAACTTGGCTTGGAGACACCATGTCCGCGAGGAACAGTCCCTATTCGAAGGACTTCAGATCAAGACTTACTTAGAGCACAATCTGCTGTCAGTATACCCAATTTTGTCTCTGACACTAATGCAATTGGACCAAGCTCCCCAGGTGTAGATGTGAGAAATTTTCACCACATAAGGATACTAGTCAAAACTCAATATTCTTCCTCAATTACTTAGCACTATATAAGCAACTAGTGCATGAGTATGCTTCTAAGCCCTGCATATGCTTCTTTATGAGATTTACATCTAGACCATCAATTGCGTGATCATATTTGATTGATAAATTCAAGTTAATCACTATGAAAAGATTTTCTCTTTTATAGTTTGCGGGAATAGTTTCAATGCCAGATGATGGAAAAAAGTACCATGGAGCAGCAGGATTGGTGACCATATACCAACCATTTGTTCAAATTACTCAGTATAGTTCATCAATGATTATTGTTCAATCTTCATAACTAAAGGGCAGTGCGGTATAGTTAGAACCGGATGGATGGTATGTTTCATTTGCAATATTTGAGAACTAACAAGAATTTTTCTGGATTCCCATAATTTAAAAACGAAAGTTTAATGACTCCAGAATATCATTTTCTTTCTAGGTCAATAAAGCCCTTTATGGAGACGTCCGAAGCAGATTTTTCACAGCTTGGACGGTATATTTTATGAATTTTACCATTACTTCATATTGTCACACACTTGAGATCATATATATACTAATCAGCTGTTAACTTTTGAAAATTTATCAGCAAGAAGAAAATGGCACCACATTTGGGTGCTATGATGTCCAGTGCTCAGGCTTTGTAGTTGTGAATAGATATGTAACTCCCGGCCTACCTTTTGGCAATGTCTCAACTCCAACTGGCACTAAATATAATGTTTGGATGATGATCAAGCAAGTAAGTCTTTAGTCCCTAACTTCCATATAAGAAACTCCATTATATAAAAAGATCATTCAGTAGAACTAATGAAAAAATTGTGCTTGAAGGTATGCTAATGATTTTTTTTGGTTTGGGCAGGATACACTTAGTGGGGATTGGTGGGTGATGATGCTAGATGGCAATATACCAATTGGGTATTGGCCAAGTAAGTTATTCAATGGGTTTAATAGTGGAGCTGTTGTAGCAAGCTGGGGAGGATGGGTTTACAGCCAGAGTCCTGGTTCTCCTGCAATGGGTAGTGGCTTATATGAAGATGAAGATTTTGACAAGACATGTTACATGGCACGAGTCGTTGTTAACAATCCAGGGGATCCCAAGTTTGTTAGCCCAGATGATTCTTCTATTCGTCTTCTCCAATCTCGTTGTTACAAATCTGGATATAATTCTTATTTTGATGAAAATTGGGGATACAGATTCTTGTTTGGAGGACCCATTTGTTGGTAATTCTGTTTTATTTTCCTCGGGAAAATAAAAAGAAAATAAAGTCCTTTACTTTGTTCCATTGAAGAAAGTGACTACTACTATATTATGGAAATAAACTCAACCCATTTATAAAATATATAAATTATTGGAGATAAGTGTACGAACAACTGTAGGTAGAAATAATGCCCATAATGAACCCTAGAAAGATCCTTACTGTTGCAAAAATTACGAGAGAAGGCAAGTACGTACTGAAATCAAAGCTTGGGGAGAATTCTCTGGCCACCGTTTGGAGAGCAGAGCACAGACTAACGGGAGAAGAGGTGGTGGTGAAGCAAGTTTATCGATCCAAGCTCAACAAACACCTAATCAGCTGCTTGGAATGTGAACTCAATTTCCTGTCCTCTGTCAATCATCCGAACATCATTCGCCTTCTTGACGTCTTCCAGGTTGCTTTTGATTTTTTAGCTCAATTGCGTCGTAAGCGTTTCTCCTTTTATCTGAGACGGATTCAAAATCATTGGTGTCGGAGGGTATAGCGATTAATTTTTTAGCGTCTGATGCTTTTTTGATTTTACGTTTAGTGGACTAATCGATCTTAAGTTTATGTTTGGTTGATTTCTGGGTAATCTTCGTTGCTGCACATCTTCTCTGAACATTCAAATTTTGTTACACGTCTAATTTTCAGGGGTCAGTTTTGGAAATCGGGTTCTATTACCGATGGCAGTTACCTTGTTTCTGATTGAATATTGAGAGAATGATCTGTATCATTGTATGTGAATTTTCTGTAAATTTTTAGCCTATTTATAATGGATTTTGAGATATAAATACAGAAGATATACATAAGGTAGAACATTATATTGTCATAATTAACAAGATTACGATTGATTAGTGAGGTTATGATCTCACTGATTGTGCTAACATTCCCGCGCAAACTCAAGTTTGCGAGGAACTTGCTAACTTGAGGTCACAAACTGGATCATGCAAGCGTTAAGGTGGATACCTCTGTGTTCTTGTTCTGTCTGACCATTTCTTTGGAGGGATCCAGATATGAGCGTTGAACAGTGTTTCCATTACATTAACAAGAATTGAAGGAGAGTAGAGTCACTAAATTTCATGATATTATCAATATCGAATAGTTTGATATGAGAAGAGAATTGAGTTTTTATCATTGGTCAATGAGAGTCTTTACGTGGAACTGAGGAGGGACTTCTTAAATTTATCAGTTTGATGGACTTGGGTAATGAAATTGAGGCTTCCAATGCCTAGTGCCTTTTCTTTTTATATTTCTTCAAGTGTGCTAGTGATTTAAATGAATTCCACAAAATATTTTAAATCTCGTGATTTGTTCCAATCACCGAATTTCATTTACAATGAATTTCTTAGTCAATATATTTAGAAAAGAAATAAACTTTGACTTTCCATTTGCTTCAACAGAGTCTTATGTTAGTTTAGCGCATAATGTGAATATGCATTCCAATTTGTTAAATTTTGATTTTTTGAGGATTTCTGGGAGAGATAAGCGAAATATTTTCTAGGGCATCTGATGGAAAAGAAGTGATTACCGATGATTTTTCAAGACTAATTTATTCTGTTTTGTTTTTTTGTAAGATTTTCTCCCATATCATTGGTTTTGGTGTTTAAATTTTGACTTCAAGACATTTGTATCTAGGCATTGTTTAGGTTTCTGGTTTCAACTAACAGGATAAAGATTATATCTATCCCTTTATGAACTTGCACAATTTCATTGTTTAGCCAAATTAAGTTGATGTAAAAAAAAATTTACTTGATAGTTTTGTTAGCTTTGCCAGCACTTTGCCCTTTATTTTCCTTTGGTCACTCCTGATACCAGTTCTTGGTATGGTTGCTCATTTGGTTTAAGTGAATGGACTCCACCAAATTAACCGAAATCCAATAGATCTATTTTGGTTTCAGTTCCGGTTTTTTTTTTTTTTTTGGCTTTTAAATTCGAATTCTCATTTTTGTGTACTTTTAATAATTCATTTACTGAACTAACTAGTTGGTTAATTTATTTAAATAAATAAGCCTCAAATAGTTTTATTTCAAATTCCAACCCATAGGCTTAAATATCAATAAACTGTATTCACGATTCATATAACTTTATTTTAGTGATAGTTGTCCCTTTTAGTACCATTTATCTGATTTTTGTTTTTCTTTTCTAACTTGATTTTCACAAATTAGAAGCTGATTGCCTTTATTTCAGGATGAAAGTTGTATATTTCTGGTCATGGAGTTTTGTTCTGGGGGAACATTGGCCTCTTATATTCAGCTCCATGGAAGAGTTAAAGAGCAGATAGCCAGAAGATTCATCCAGCAACTTGGTAACTACTATTTGCTACCTATATTTACTTCCATTATAATTTCTATATTTGCTTCTCTGTTTAAATTATATCTTAAAAATGTTTCTTCTTCGTTGCAATGCAGGAGCTGGTTTGGAAATTTTACACGCTCATAATATTATCCATAGGGACTTAAAACCAGAGGTAATGCACACATGGACAAGCAGTGGTTTTGATTAATATTCTTTGTGCTTCTTGACCTCCCATACGAACTATTCTGGTGTTAAACATTCCATGGTATGTGAACAATCTTATATAGAAACTACACAATTATATTGTCCTATGCCTTTCTTATTAGTATCCTTCTAGCTTTTTGGTGATTAATTGCCGCATGCTATCTTCTGTCCCATCGTTACATTTGTTAAATGACCAAGGATTGGTTAAATGGCAGTTCAACAAACTGAAAAGATATATCTGCAAGGAACCATACAAATTGGTATTTTAAAATCAAATTATTGGCAGTTGGCTGGGATGAATTTCTGTGGGTTTTCACTCACGTTCTTGATTGGAATAGTGCATACCAACACAATCTTAGAATATTTGAGATTCTTTTGCCTTGGAGCAGGTCCAAATTTTGGGGGCCTACTTGATTTTACAATCTTCTAACTTTACAAATCAAGTTTCCCTCGATTGGCTAATTTTGGTTTTTTAAACAGAACATACTACTGTCTGGATCTGAAGGTAATACGGTGCTCAAGATAGCTGATTTTGGGCTCTCAAGGTAATTAAATTATAAAGAACTTTAAGAGGATGTTAGGTATGAAAACTTATGTAGCAAAAGCTTAGAATGGAAGCAGTGTAGTTGCTTTTTACTTGACAAAATTTGACAGGATTTTATGTCTCGTGCTTTTAACTTGTACACTTGTTTTCATTGTGAGAAAAGAACTTTGTCTCCAGGGAAGCATGCTGAAAAGGTTTGCGGGTCTCCACTGTACATGGCTCCAGAAGTTCTTCAGTTTGAAAGATATGATGATAAAGTACCAGAATCAGTTTTATGAATTACTTTTACACTTGTCCTCAAAGTTAAGACCTACTGAGAAGTCAGGGGGTCTTGCAGGTTGATATGTGGAGTGTTGGTGCTATTCTCTTTGAATTGCTTAATGGATACCCTCCCTTTCAAGGTAGGAACAATGTTCAGGTAGGACCTTAATCCTAAGAGTCTCTACGCACAAAAAGGTTGATCCCAGCTAAAGTTTTCTTGATCTCAGTTGCTGCAGAACATTAAGTCTTGTACTTGTCTTCCCTTCTCCCAGCTAATCGTTCCACAGTTGAACCCAGACTGTGTTGATATATGTTCAAGACTTCTTTCAGTAAATCCAGGTCTCGCATGTTGTTATTTATTGAGTTCACATGCTTATAACTCTCCCTAGAATGTTATATTTTTGTTCTCTGTTGACTAGCCTATGAGTTCATCCCTTACGGATCTCTCTGTTGTTGCAGTGCACCGCCTCTCTTTTGATGAATTCTATCAGCACAAGTTTCTCCAAAGAACTGGGGAAATAAGGGTCCCTTTTGATATTGGGCTTTGAATTACGCATGATTTTTTGCTGCAAGGTCAATATTTTCATTAGCTTCTTCGGTGTATCAGATTTACTGGGTTAACACATAGCACTATATGTTCGTGGTTATTTCAGATACCTTCTATGATTGACCTGTTCTGCAAGCTTCTGGCTTTTGTCACAGCTTTTGGATTTTGGACTTTTTCTTGTTTTTCTTCATGACATATGCTCCACGTTGTATGCTCTTAATGATGGAAGTCTGTGTCACAACTTGCGGATTGCACTGTCCAGGGAGATGCCAAAACTGAACTGGAGTCTTCCCTCATGATTCTTGGAAATTCTGTAAATGCCAAAATTGTATAGTGAATTGGTCAGGAAACAACTGCAGTTTTTGTAACTTGTAAGTTATAATGAATCCTATGTAGTAGATTGTATAATATCATGTTTATATAGAAATAGACATATTTTTCAATGACTGCTTGTGTTTGAAATCCTGGATATTGATAATCTATTTAACCTTTGATTATGTCTGCTATGACTTTTGGGGCATGAGGAATGTATACACCTACATGGATGGGGTTTAGCTTAGAACATTAGTCCCTCTATGAAAGTAATATTGCAGTAAATACAGATTTCTTTTTATTGACTATAATAATTTTAAATCTAAACTAACTAATGAACCCACAAATCGTTTGTCTTTCTTCATTTTATGGAGAGGATCTTGCTCTACCATCATTTTCATATACAACTTAGTAAGTAAAAATTAGTTTTCTTGAAGGAAGGATCTTTACTTTAACATTAAGTTTATATGGAAATAAGTAGACAAATATTTTATTTTTTTGAATCGAAAAAAGCTTCCTCCTTTGCCGACCTTCCTTTTCTTCCCCGTTAATTTACCCTAATTTTAAAACCATATCTTATTGGGTTGGATGGGCTGATGGGTTCGGGTGGGTTGATGGGTTCGGGTGGATTAACATCTTTGTATTCGGGTTCCGGCGCCCCGCTGTTAAACTCTACAGAAAGAGGGAGAGAGAAGAAATCAAGATGGCACCGGCAAAGAAGGGTAAAGCAAAGGCGACGCACGAGTCAACTCGGTCATCATCAAACACAGACAGCACCAACCACAAATTCCCTTCGTGCATTCGATCGGTTGCTCCTTCCTCTGTCGCCATCACCATCCACGCGAAGCCTGGCTCCAAATCCTCCTCCATCACCGGTAACTATGCCTCTGTTTACAACTCTCTACGTGTATCGTTACACGTACACGTTTCTTTTCTCTATATGACTTTCGTCTCTCTGTGTTGCCTTTCCTCCTTTTTTTTTTGGTGAATGTAGATTTGAGCGATGAGGCTGTGGGGGTTCAAATCGACGCGCCAGCCAAGGACGGCGAAGCTAATGTGGCCCTTCTTGAATATATGAGCTCCGTGAGTATTTTTTACGTTCCAACCGTATGCCTTTCTTGGACTTGTTAATCCTAATTTTGCCTGCACATATAGTGACAAGTTGGAAGAAGCAGAATACTAGTTTTGTACGGAATTATGGATTATTAAAAAAGTTACACATGTTTATATTATTTAAAGTAGGAGATTGTATCTCGATATGTGAATATTTTGATTTTTTTTTATCGTAATGTTGAATTATTTATTTGAGGTGGGCTAACTTGAAGGACTCCTCCATTTCATGCTGAAAGTGAACCACTCATACAATAATTGATTGGAAAATTGGGCAAACCAATTGTTGTTTATAGCTTCGATTGATCATAGTTTCCAATATTTATGGTTTGTTCATAAACCGACCTCATTATGCCTTTTTAGGATGTAATGTCTGTTTGTTTGGGGAAATTCTCCCCTTCCAAGTGCTCTGAGAAGGAAGCATGATAATAAACAACAATTTTGATGTTTCCTCATCTGAAAGATTTTGATTATCTATATTTTAAGGGTTTATGTCTGGTACAAATGGATTATTTTTTTGGAATTCATTTTAAAATCTTCTAATTTATATATTTAGTTCAACCATGAACTTTTGAAATTTGAAATGTTGTTTTAGTTCCACTTGAAAAAATTAGAATGGGATTTCACCATTGGTGCTTTGTGTTCATCTTTCCAAATAGATGTAATGAGTGTTTTTTCAGTTTGGATTATGTGTTTTAGCAAACAAGGAAATTTGAGACTTTTGTTGAAGCATGCTAATAACAGAGAAAACAACTTTTGTTGAAGCACGCTAATGACTTTTGACAAGCTGAACCACAAAGTGGCAGGGGAGTGGAGGGAATTTCTCTTTCCAAAATATAGATGGTAAATTCTTCTCACGATCAGAACAGTAAGGGTGGTTTTCGGGACCAAACAGTTGTTTCTTGATGTGTGCATTTCTTATGCTCAAACTTGTCGAGGTGGATTTTGGGACATGACAGTTGTTTGGCAACGTAAGCCTAACATCGAATTATCCAATTCATGGTTACAGATATAACCAAATTTTAATTATTTGTTCTTCTTGGTTGTTGCCAAGCTAAAGACAGTCCTAATTTTCATTACTTCTGATATAGGTTTTAGGGGTGAAAAGAAGGCAGTTAAGTATAGGTTCTGGTGCTAAATCGAGAGACAAAGTTCTGATTGTAGAGGAGGTTGTGCTAGAGAGCGTGTTTGATGCTTTGGACAAAGCAACAAAACGCTAATGAGGGAGAAGCAAGATGTTTCTATGCCTGGATGATCCTTATGGTTCTGTTGCTTTCTTGATCCCCTTTTAATCTTACAGTTTTACATCTATGGCGGCGATGGTTGAAATGCTGATCTCTGCTGATGTTTAAGAGGTGTTAGAGAATTTACTTGGTCATATCTTTTCCTTTAACGGAATGTACTAGTCATTTCTCATCTATAATACGGGTTTTTGGTTAATTACAGTTGTAAATAGATTCATCCAAGTTGGATCAGATAAATAAAAATATGTTAGTGTAGTACAGCTTTATTGCAAGGTATGCGTCTTTCTTTATTCTTCAACCCTTCAGCTGATGTTCCCTTGAGTTCTCAGAAGACTCGTTTCTGTCAGAGATAAGTGTTTCATGATTCTTCTTTATCACATATTTGCAGATAGACGGCCTCATTGATTTCGGGATTGTGATAGATCTAAACTCCAATATACATGTATATACATACATACATATATATATATATATATATGATCAGTTTTGGACATTTCCTCTTGTCTAGTCAATTTGTTTCAATGAACTCTTTCTGGTGTCCTGAAATTGAAGAACGTCTCTTATTATGAAATAAAAGCTAGCAAAATGAGCTTGATACAAGCATATTGATGGATATTCAATGGACCAAGGATTCAAGAGCAATAGAAGTGAGGCACCATTATGCATCAAGGCAAAGGTAACTCGAAGATTTTCGTAGTATTCATTTTGGGAGGTGATCTTATTTTTACAATAACGAAGGAAAATGATCAAATTATTTAATAAATACACAATGAATACGATAAAGATGACATACTATAATAATGCGTTATTTTTTTAGCATTGAATTAAGAAAGGAAGAAAAAGAACGAGTCAGAAAAATTAAAAGTCTATCATATCTTCTATTTAGAAATTGATTCCAATAGAGATTAAAACGTATTTAATTTTTTATTAATAGATGTTATTCAATTAGTTAATATTTTTATTGTATTTATTCTTAATTTCTATTTTATAATTCAAATAGCTTATTAAGATATTTTTATTAAGTGGTGTATTATAGTATTTTCAGTATTTAATTTAATTTACTAATTAAGAGTCCAAATTTAAATGCAAGAGTATAGTATAAAATAGTTTATAAAATAAAAGTCTTTTTAAATTTTAGAAAAACATAAAAAGATTCGCATATAACCAGGATTTCATAATTTGTTCCAAGAAAATTCACAATTGGAAACTATAAAATTCATGCAGGGGCCCGCTTTGTTGCCAATGAATCCTGTGACAAACTCTGCATGAAACCCACTGAGGAGATTCCATCTCAGCTACACGATTCCATCAAACCCAACCATAGGGAGCCATGTAAGCAAATGACTAGGACACCTGGCATTTGGAACTCACAGGCGGTGCACGCAAGAGTTGGCAACGAAATAGACGTCCAAAGCTACAAGATAGTATAAATACAGGCTCTGCATCACCCGGCAAAAACTTTAGATGTTTTTAGAGAGAGGCGCATTGCATTTGAAACACGAGGTGGTGATTTGCGATTGATCGAAGCAACACTCGTTCGATTACTCTCATTTCTCACAATCGATTCATAAGGTTAGGGCTTCTGGTTGCATTCTCTCTTCCGAAATTTGGTCCTCTTATTATATGATAAAGCAGAGAAACGAGATAAAGAGCTCTTCTTTTCTAGGTAAATATTTAGTCTACTTGCAATTAGATTTCGATGCACATTTATGGTTACCATTTTTATTCCTGGAGAAGCATGCCGAGTATGTGCTTTTCTTGTGTTTTTCTCTTGTATTTTGGTCATTAGATCATCGGTGGTATGAATTTTAGCCAACTATATGCCGGGAGAACAGCAATTAGGTGCACTTTAGGTTTCTCGTTTTTTGTTTACATTCCCCTTTTTTTTATTATTGTTGTTGTTATTATTATTTTTTTTTACATTTCTGCTGAGTTATTATTTTCAAGTTGTAGAATTATCAGAATCTGTGCCTATCCACGCAATGCAGATGCTGAATTCCGGTATAGGGTTTAATTTTGCTGTCTAAACTTTATCTTTCTTAATTGAGGATATTTTAACAGGTAGGGTTCTGTTAAATTAATCGCTAGTTTACTTGTTACTATAGTATTTGGGATTTCATGTAAAGACGCAAGTTAAAATAGGCTTAGAGTTTTAGGTTGGAGTCTCAAGATGAATATATGATGCATATATAATTCGTATATATATATACACACACATGTTTAATTTCATTTTCTGAATCATTTCATTATCTAGATTTGGAAACTAGAGTTTCGAGCTCAGTTAGCATGGAAAGCTCAGAAGATGGTGCTGCCCATGCGGAGCCTCCTGATGCTGATGTTTTGGAGGTTGATCCAACTTGCCGATATATTCGGGTATTGTTGTGGCTTTTTTATTTTTGTAGCTTGATTTTCTTATTATATTTAAAACATCTATTAGGTTAAAGAAAACAGGCAGAAAGTTTTTCTTAATTATCCATAAACTTGGGGGCTGAGAGACTCGATGTTACATGATACTTAGTTGCTTACGTCAGAATTGATTCTGACCCTTTCTGATCTCCTCCCTGGACGTCCCACGTGGCGAAAGGTTTTAGCCTTTTACAGTTTCTTACTTTTAACCACGTGACGAAATTACATTTTTTTTATGTATATATTGTTGTTATTTATTGACGGATTGTGTG